TTTTTTTCTTTTAGGGTTTTATATATGTCTCACCTTTGCCTTCTTGCTTGCATGGCTTCTGCTGAGAAGTCAGAGCTTAATCTGATTTGCTTGCCTTTTAAGTGACACTTCTCTTTTCCCTGGCTGCTTTTAGGATTTTCTCCTTGTCTTTGATTTTGGAGAGCTTGATTATGATATATCTCGGTTATTTTCTTTTGGGGTCTATCCTTCCTGGGGCTCTTTCAGCTTCTTGAATGTTTATCTTATCATCCTTCATGATATTAGGAAAATTTTCTTCCAGTAGCTCTTCAACTGTCTCTTCCGTGGACTTCTGTGATTCTTCCTGTTCTGGAATGCCAATAATTCTTAAGTCATTTCTCTTCATGTTATCCAGCATGAATCTTAGACTCTTCAGATATTTTTAATCCTATCTTAGCAGTATTGAAAGATTTGTCTTCCAGTTCACTGGTTCTGGCTTCCCTCTCTTCAATTCTGCTCCTTTGCCCTTTCAGTGTATTGTCCATTTCTGATATTATACTATTAATCATCTAGACTACTTTTTGCAAGTTTTTCATTGTTTCCCAATGACGTATCTATCTTGTTTGACTGCTCCTGTAGCACTTTCCTGACTTCTTCCTTATTTTCCTCCACTCCTTTTCGGAACATTTGAATTTGCTTCCATATTATTCTTCTGGATTCTTTCTCAAGCAGATCCAGAGCCTGCTCTTCTATTGGAAAGTCTGTGTCTGCTTCCAGCTCATTTGTCTCAGTTACTTTTTTCTGTTTTTGGACATGTGTTGATATCTTTAATTGTATTTTCTTAGACATTTTCAACAGTTATGTGAGTTTTTAATGCTTAAATGGATGTATGTTGCTTTTTGTTAAGCTTGCTGAGTATCTCCTGGTGGATATGATCTGGAGATAGGCTTCCCTTTTCACATGTAATGCCTAGCAACTGGTTTTGGTTCTTGTCCTGGTGGGGTACTATAGGGTATGCTTTTAGCTTTGCTATATGAGCATAGTTGCTGTCTTTTCTTGGGTAAGGTAGGGGGAGAAAGCTCCCACCTCCGGGAGAAGAGTGAGGCCAAAAGGACCAAAGACAGAAACAATATAAAAGCAGAGACAGAAACCACCAATCAAAAATAAAATTGTGATTGACACTGTTCACTGTCCTTTGCTGTGCAAAGGGTCCCGCCTAGGTAAACTATGGGGTTGGTTCCCAGGGTCAAAAAGTCATAAGAAGCCACCTGCAAGTTTCCTCTCTGTGCTGTTGAAAAACTGTGGGTGTACTGCTGGACCCTTTTGGGGTGTGCTCCTGCCTGCCTGAAGGCATCTGGGCTGTGTAGTGAGGGCTTGATCAGGGTGAAGAGGAGAGATACGTGAAAAATGAAAAGTGAAAGATGAAAAATTGGTCACATCTCTCCCTTCAGAAGCACTGCTCCGCGGTGGCTTCTAGCACTGGGTAGCTAGCTCCTTTTGGCTGTGGCCCTGCCCTCCAGCATGAGAACTTCTGGCTGCCTGCCACCATGGCTGGATACCTCAGACTCAGGGTATCTCACAAGGATGCCACCTTCAAGATCAATTTATGAAAACTGGAGGTACAGCCTTAAAATAGAATGTGGACGTAAATACCCAGAAGCACCCACTTTGTAAGATTTGTAATAAAACTTAATATGAATGGAGTGAATCGTTCTAATGGAGCGGTGGACCCAAGAGCCATATCAGTGCTAGCAAAATGGCAGAATTCATATAGCATCAAAGTTGTCCTGCAAGAGCTCCAGCACCTTATGATGCCTAAAGAAAATATGGAAGTCCCTCAAGTACCTGAAGGACGGTGTTACAACAATTAATCAAAAAGAAAAACCACAGGCCCTCCCCTATCCCCACCCCCATTCGATTTAAGCAGTCTTCATTTTCCACAGTACTAAATTTTCCAGATATGTTTCATGAACCTCAAAGTACTGGAAAGAAAGCTCCCATTCAAGGGCAAGTTATCTTAAGATACTGTAAATGATGCTAATTTTGTGTCCATTTGAAATATATAAGTTGTGCTATAACAACAACAACAAACCCTTCCTTTAGGAAGCTTTCATTCTATTGGGAGGAGACCGACAATATATAAGTACGTAGAATACAGAGGATGTCAGGTATATGCAACAGAAAAAAAAATAAAGGAAAGGGAATCTAGAGTAATGGGAGGCAAAGTGAGTTACAATATTAAATAAGGTGCTTACAGAAGATGTCACAATAATGTTTCAGGTGAGCCAAGGAGAAGAAGAGGCAAATTCTTTGGTTTATCTGGAAGGAGCATGTTTTAATCAGAGAAAAGAAAAAGTGCAAAAGTCCAAAGGTAGAAACATGCCTGGCCATATTGCAGGAATAACAAAGAAATCATTGAGAAAGAAGAAATGAAAGAAGTCCCTTTCCTCTGAGATGAAAAGTCAATGAAAGGTTTTGAGCAGAAAAGTGGTGATGGTTTGATTAAACTTTAGAAAGAAGCATTTTGGTGGCTATTTTGAGAATAATAATGTTCCTTCTTGTGCTACATTTAAACCTTGTACATGCTTCTACTGGGACAATCAGACATCATGCTTTAAATTGGTGATCACACCTATTAGACCATGAGAGGTTATTGAAAGGAAAAAATGACTTATTTATCTCCAGTGTCTTAAACATAATTGTGGTTGTAGTGTGCCAATGAAATCAGTTCTGACTCAGAGTGACCCTGTATAGGGTTTCTGAGGCTGTAAATCTCTACAGGAGCAGAAAGCCAACAATAACTGACTACATCAACAGGGCTCCCCTAAGACACACAGTAGATGATCAATAAATGTCAAATGAATAAATATACTTTCACTGAAAATCTGGCATAGGTAAGACAAGTAAGATGATTTATCTTCTCAGCTACTTAAAAAAAAAATTAAATAGATATTATTACAATAATATATTTAAACTTTCACACTTACAAAGTGTTTCAAAACATTTAAACATTCAGACTTTCATAATTATGACTATGAGAGGGCAATGTGGTTGTATGTGTCTATTTTTTAAAAAAAGAAAATACTTTTCTTAATTGACAGACAAGAAAGCTATACACTAGACTGCTCCCCCCAAATACAGTAGTAGTCTAGGCTATTACTAAAGCAGCAGCTCAAAGCTTCATTTACTCCTCCCTTAGCTTTCTATTGCAATTAGGAAACAAATTCTGTGAAATCAATTCTTGTTCGAATCTGTCTGAAATTAGTCTATGTGCTACAAAAGGACCAAGGTCAGTTTCAATGTTAATTTTCCTTTTTCAAAATACCCAGACCAGTGTTTAGTTCCGATGGGAAAGGGAACTAGAGGATGAGGCGAATACATTGTATGCATAATTAAAGGTTCACTTTATGATATATTTCCAAAAGAAATTCTAAATTCTTAATATA